ATCTGTTCAGACCAATGAAAGACAGACTGCATGGGCAACATTTTCCTAGCAACTATGCTTTCATAGCAGCTGTGAAATAGTGGATCACCTCCAATGGTGCAGATTTTTACAAGTGCAGCAATGCAGGCTCTTGTTCATCACTGGTGAAATGCATAACTAATGGTGGTGACTGCATTGAAAAATAGTGTTTCGTAGCTGAGAATTTGCTCTACCAAATAGTGTTATTGTGCTCTTTGTGCCTGTTTTATCATAGAATCATAGAATCACAAGGTTGGAAACGACCTGTAAGATCATCTAGTCCAACAGTCTTCTCATTACCATAGCCACCACAAACTAAATAAGATCTTGTAGCTCCTCATCCAGACGCCTCTTGGACACTGACAGGGATGGCGACTCCACCACCTCCCTGGGCAGTCATTCCAGTGCCTGACCACCTTCTGAGAGAAATAGTTCTTCCTTATGTCTAATCTAAACCTCCTCTGGTACAACTTGCTGCCATTTCCCCGGTCCTGTTCATTGCCTGGGAGAAGAGGCCAAACCCCTCTTCACCACAACCTCCCTTCAGGAAGATACAGAGTGCAGTGAGGTCTCCCCTGAGCCTCCTCTTCTCCAGATAAACAATCCCAGCTCCCTCAGCAGCTCCTCATAAGACTTGTGCTCCAGACCCCTCAGCAGTTTCATTGCCCTTCTCTGGACACACTCCAGGGCCTCAATGTCTTTCTTGTAGTGAGGGGAAAAAATTTTTCTGCTGAAGCGGAGCCTCAAAAAATTTCACAACACTCGTGCTTGTTCCTCTCCACAGAAATCTTTAGTAAAAGGCGAAAGATTTATACGATCTGAACAGAAATCAGAATAGTTTCCATGGAAATAAATTAGAGGCATTACTTTCAGAGCTACCTGTGTACTACCCTGGCAGCAGAATCCCGCACGCACAGACCCTGCTCAGCACTTCAAATTTGAGCCACGTAACAGCAAATAGCAGGTGACCTCCAGTCAGCTAATTTATTGTGTAATGCTGTGCTTTATGCCTATAAAACACATATCTGTTTATGCATTTCATGTTTAACTGTGTGGCCGTAACTGACTGGAATGATTGAAGAACTAACAGGAAAAGCTACTGGAATGGTTTTGTGTTCCAGATAAAACTTGGGATATGTAATTAGCAGCTCGTCCTTGTGTTGCCTGCTAAAGGGCATGGCAGTGCTGTGAAGACGATCCCTATTATTAAACCCGTAGATAGTATGGCTCAGGGAACCTGAAGACTGTACTGGAATTTAATTACAGAGAGCAGCAGGGGAAGTGACACACGGGAGTATGTGGGCAAACCTGAAAAATGCACTTTTGCAAATATTCTGAAATTGCTTCAGTGAAAATTACTACATTGCTGTGTGCTGCCCACAACTGGCAGGAACAGGTCACTTCTCTAGCACATTATCAACCCTAATTACTATTGGTTCAGCTGGAAACTATCTTTGAAGGCAACTCCCCCACATCAGTGGTGCCTGAAAGTCAGATAACGTGTTCAAAAACCTCCTGGGGCACATGTCAGTGCCGAAATCTGGTCCCAGAGAAATTCTAGCCTCTGCAGGCAGCCCTGCAGAGAGCTGATGCAGTGGGTCAGTACTGTGAAGTTGCACTCCACAGAAGCCACAAACCCCATGGAGTGAAGTCATAGAATCATAGAATCATAGAATCATAGAATTATAGAATCACCACCATATAGTTGGAAAAGACTAAAAGATCATCCAGTCCAACCGTTCACCTATTCCCAATAGCTCCCACTAAACCATGTCCCTCAACACAACATCCAGTCTTTCCTTGAACACCCCCAGGCTCGGTGACTCCACCACCTCCCTGGGCAGTCCATTCCAGTGCCTGACCACCCTTTCTGAAAAGTAATACTTCCTCATGTCCAGCCTGAATCTCCCCTGCCGTAGCTTGAAGCCATTCCCCCTGGTCCTATCACTAATGACACGAGAGAAGAGGCCGACCCCCAGCTCACTACAACCTCCCTTCAGGAAGTTATAGAGAGCAATGAGGTCTCCCCTGAGCCTCCTCTTCTCCAGGCTGAACATTCCCAGCTCCTTCAGCCTCTCCTCATAAGCCCTGTGTTCCAGACCCCTCACCAGCTTTGTTGCCCTCCTTTGAACACGTTCCAGGGCCTCAATATCTTTCTTGCAGTGAGGGGCCCAAAACTGGACACAGTACTCGAGGTGCGGCCTCACTAGTGCTGAGTACAGGGGAACAATCACCTCTCTGCTCCTGCTTGCAACACTGTTTCTGATGCAAGCCAGGATGCCATTGGCCTTCTTGGCCACCTGGGCACACTGTCGGCTCATGTTCAGCCAAGCATCAGTCAATACCCCCAGGTCCATTTCCTCTATGCAGTCCTGCAGCCACACCGCCCCAAGCCTGTAGCGTCGCCTGGGGTTGTTGTGGCCAAAGTGCAGGACCCGGCATTTGGCCTTGTTGAACCTCATCCCATTGGCTTCAGCCCAGCTCTCCAGCCTGTCCAGATCCCTCTGTAGGGCCTCGCTACCCCCAAGCAGATCCACATTTCCAGCCAATTTGGTGTCATCTGCGAATTTACTGAGGGTGCACTCGATGCCCTCATCCAGGTCATCAATAAAGATACTGAAGAGGACAGGCCCCAGCACCGACCCCTGCAGAACACCACTCACGACCGGTCGCCAGCTGGATTTGACTCCATTCACCACCACTCTCTGTGCCCGGCCCTCCAGCCAGCTCCTCACCCAGCCAAGAGTGTACCCATCCAAGCCTCGGGCTGCCAGCTTCTGCAGGAGAATGCTGTGGGAGACAGTGTCAAAGGCTTTGCTGAAGTCTAGGTAGACCACATCAACAGCCTTTCCCTCATCCACCAGATGGGTCACTAGATCATAGAAGGAGATCAGGTTGGTCAAGCAGGACCTGCCCTTCACGAACCCACGCTGGCCTGATCCCCCGCTCATCCCGCACATGCCACATGATCTCCCTCAAGACAATCTGCTCCATAACCTTCCCTGGCACCGAGGTCAGGCTAACAGGCCTGTAGTTCCCCAGATCCTCCTTACAACCTTTCTTGAAAATGGGAGTCACGTTGGCAAGCCTCCAGTCTTCTGGGACCTCACCAGTTAACAAGGAGTGCTGACAGATGATGGAAAGCAGCTCGACTATCACCTCCACCAGTTCCCTCAGCACTCTCGGGTGGATCTCATCTGGCCCCATCGACTTGTGACAGTCCAGCTGGAGCAGTAGTTCTCTGACTGTTTCTTTCAGAATCACAGGGGGGTTAGTGTGCTCCCCAGCTGAGATTACCAGGTCAGAGAGAGGAGTATCCTGAGGACAACTGGTCTGACTTTTAAAGACAGACGTAAAGAAGGCATTCAGAACCTCTGCCTTTTCCTTATCCTCAGTAGTCACATTCCCAGCCTCATCCAGCAAAGAGTGGATATTCTCCTTTGTTCTCCTCTTACTGTTAATGTATTTATAAAAGAGTTTCTTATTCCTTTTCACCCCAGCGGCTAGGTTAAATTCAAGCTGGGCTTTTGCCTTTCTGATTTCACCTCTACACATCCTAACGACTCCCTTATATTCATTCTGAGTGGCCTGTCCCTCTTTCCACAGGCAGTAGATTCTCGTTTTCTCCCGGAGCCTCAAGAATAGCTCCCTATTCATCCATGCCGGTCTTCTTCCCCGCCGGCTCATTTTGCAGCTCAGGGGGACTGCCTGCTCCTGCGCCCTTAAGACTTCCTTCTTGAAGAGCAACCAGCTCTCCTGGACCCCTTTACTCGCTAAGACTGAATGCCAGGGGACTCCCCCTATTAGTCCCTTGAACAATTCAAAGTCCACCCTCCTGAAGGCCAAGGTAGCAGTTTTACTATTCCCCCTCCAGGCTCCACCATGAATTGAGAAATCTATCATTTCATGGTCACTCTGCCCAAGACAGCCTCCAACCTCCACATCTCCCAGCAAACCTTCCCTGTTTGTGAACAGCAGGTCTAGCGGGGCAGTTCCTCTCGTGGGCTCTCTGACCAGCTGTATCAGGAAGTTGTCCTCTATGCATTCCAGAAACCTCCTAGACTGCTTCTTCTGTGCTGTGCTGTACTCCCAGCATATGTCAGGGAAGTTAAAGTCCCCCATGAGGACAAGGGCAGGCGACTGTGCAGCTTGTGCCAGCTGCTTATAGAATACCTTGTCTGTCTCTTCATCCTGATTTGGAGGTCTGTAACAGATGCCCACCAGGGTGCCTGTCTTGTCAGCCCTTCCTCTGATCTTTACCCATAGGGATTCAACGTTATCGTCCCCACTCATAATCTCAGTAGCGTAAAAGCATTCCCTAATGTAGAGAGCCACACCGCCACCTCGCCTTCCTTGCCTATCCTTCCTGAAGAGTTTGTAGCCATCCATTGCAGCGCTCCAGTCGTGGGAGCAATCCCACCACGTTTCCGTTATGGCAACTAGGTCATAGTTTGCCTGCTGCACAATGGCTTCCAACTCTTCTTGTTTGTTGCCCATGCTGCGTGCATTAGTGTAGACGCACCTCAGCTGAGCCCCTCACCTCTCACCTAATCCCAATACCACTTCCCCAGGCTGCTCTCTAGCAGGCCTAGCTTTATCCCCTTCCCCCTTCCTATCTAGTTTAAAGCTTTCTCTACAAGTCCCGCCAGCTCCTGGGCGAGTATCCGTCTCCCTTTTGGAGACAGGCAATTCCCATCAGCAGACCTCAGGCCAGGTGCCGAGTAGACCACCCCGTGATCAAAGAATCCAAAATTATTGCGCTTGCACCAGCCTCTCAGCCATGCATTTATAAGATGGCTTTTCCTGGTCATCTCAGCGCTTGTCCCTGCCACCCTGCCAGACGTGATCTGTGCTAATGTAGATCCATCTGAACAGCTGCCACTGGATGTTATCTCTATCTGTTGTCAGAATCAAGCAAGGAATTGGACCTGGAAATGGACATCACAAGCATTGGATTGTGGCACTGCTGACAGTCTCTTTACCTCCTGGCTCTGCCGGTCAGTCTGTCCTTTCCTTTGGCTCGGCTGCTCGTTGCTTTGGGACCAGGATCGTTCACGTTCACACTGTGTTGTCCTACACCTAGGAGAGAGAGGCCATGCAAAAGTAGGCAGAACTGGCTGATGGACCACTGGTGGGGCTGACATCCTTGTATCAGTGAAAAGTACCCTTGGATGGGGAAGCCTCTGAAGCTGCATGCATACTACACATACGTTTTCTGAAGCTGTGAATACAGAATGAGAATTTAGATGTGTTTCTTCTGCATTTTCTATTCTAAATTCCAATAATAAACATTGATCTTATCCCTTGGATACAGTCTGCCTTGTGCTGTTCTTGGGAGACTGTTCTTCTTCTTCCTTGCCACAGTGCAGGGATCTTATCACAAGGCTAGGAAAGTAGACGCATGGTGTATTCCCAGCACACACACATCACATGTCTGTGACAGTGCCTGGACAGAGCTCTCCCCATGGGGCACATTCAAAGGTGCTGATGTTTAGTAGGGTGACACAACTGAGTCATGTGGTTTACTCACCTCTCCCGCTGGGAGGAAAGGACCTGTGCTGGAATTTCCTTGCGTTTCTTCCCCCTAAAAGGACAAAGAAGAGAGTGCACAAAGTGAGACAGTCTGTAATGCAGACTGCAGAGAGCATTGGCATTCAAATAGGGTACTGCAAGGGAAAGATTTGTTCCGCCAGTCCATCTCCTGAGAAACAGGAATCATGATGGACTTATGCTAGTAAAGAAGCCAGCACGTGCCACAGGGATCAGAGATGAAGTGCTCTGGAATAGGATTGCCTCTCAAACCACTGGAAAGTAGGCAGTGGTGAACCTCCTTGTGTTGTAAAAGGTTACAGAAACCATGCCACTGCTCTCCCTGGGAAGGTAAGAAGCGCTAGCAACCAGATGCTCAAATCCCAACCCCTGAGCACTCTGCAAAGCAGAGAGGGCTGAGACCCCAACACTGCACTCAGAGGCGTTTGCCCAGGAAAGCAGAGTGACAGCTGTGTCAGCTGTGGCACTGGGATTCGCACGATCAGCATTCATTAGCGTCAGGACAGAATCTAGGTGTCCCTTGCCAACCTTTCTTATTGCTGGGATTATCCAAGGCTGGCTCCCCATCCTTAACAAAGTCCTCTTCAAACCTGCAGGTTAAAAACAGGCAGTGTCAGACCTGGCCATCCTCTTCCGGTGTGCAAAAGTGTGGGCAGGAGACCTCAAGACACAGCCTCCAGCCCTTCTGCACCTGCCCACTGGCAAATATGTGCAGGTTTGTCAGCAGAAGCTGAAACTGCATGCACTAACCAGGAGAGATGAGGCTGTGAGGCAATTCTACCCCAAAGGAGAACCTGTACACCAGCCAGGTGTAGCTCTGCCGGAAAAACACAGGTAAATGAACAGTGTTTAAAGTAGAGAAATGTCAGAGCCCATTGAGAGCTCTCCCACGCTACCCAGCATTTCTCCTGTACCATGCAAGTAGTCTTTGAAATAATCACTCCTCCCTGAGGAGGATATAAGTCTGTTTTCTCATCTTGTGATTGAAAAGGAGAAACAAAGGCTTTGAGAAAACCCTTGGATGAGCAACACAAGTTTGTCCATTCTTGTTTCAAGAAGAGCACCTGCAACCCCTGCCACTGGATCTGTCCTAGTGGGGATGGAGAAAACTCTGCAGATATAGACTTGAGCAGGGATTCATGCTTCCCTCTCCCCCTCAGTCCTCATCCTGGAAGGACCAATGGCAGAAAATCTTAGCACAAAATATCTCCTATCAGGGTAGAAGACAGAAAGTAAAGATGATAACTGCTCTGGTATCTGGTCCCATTGACAGACATGACCAGAAGAAACACAGAATGGCTTAATTTGGAAGCAGAAATGAAAATTTTGTTAGGGAAAGGCAGATTGCAGCACGGGATTCTGTAAGCAATGATCATCTGTACAAGATCTCATCACTGGCTTTACTCAGCCTTTTGCAGACAAACCACCCCAGAACACCAGAGGACCTACATGTGCTCTGACTTCTCCACATCCCAAGCCCGCCTCCACTCGCCCTTTGCATTCTTGTGCCGTGCCAGTCGCTCGAGGTCAATCTGATCTCGTTCCCTCTTCCAGCGGATGTACTCCGAGCGTTCCCGTCCACTCAAGGGGAAGCTCAGGTCTCCGGGGCACTTCTGGACTGACTTCCCACCCTCCTAGGGAGGCAAAAGAACTACTTGTTAGTAAATTGTCTGAAAAGCCTGCAGGTGATTGTTACCACTAGAGATCACCAAATCAGAGAATCATTAACGTTGGAAAAGACCTCTAAGATCATTGAGTTCAGCCACCAACCTACCACCAGCGTGGTCACCAAACCATGTCCCTAAGTGCCACATCTACCCTTTTCTTGAACACCTCCAGAGACAGTGATTCAGCCTTCCTCCAGGCAGCCTGTTCCAATGCATCCCGCTCTTTCAGGGAAGAATTTCTTCCTAATATCCAACCTGAACCTCCCCTGGCACAACTCAAGGCCATTACCTCTTGCCCTAATGCTCACTAATATCTGAAAACTTTGGAGAAAGGTGCCACCTTTGTGAAGCCATGTGTACACAGAGGGACTCTACTTTAACCATAGCCTAAGTATGCTGGTCCCATGGTTGGTAACATTTTATTGACTTTACAGAGAAAAGAACTGAGTCAGAAAGAAGTTGTACAGCTTCCTCAGTTCCACATTGTAAATCCATGGTCAAATCAGAGCTAGCAACCATTCCATCCCAGAGATATTCAACAGCAAGAAGACTGTTTGTGTTAATGCATTTCTGAACAGTTGTTCCACTTTGTCCAGACTAACATGGACAGCATTATATTCCTAAGGATTAAAATCTCACCCACTAAACCCCTGAATTTTGTCATCTGGATACATTCCTGTCGCCTTAATGAGATGGGGCTTCACTGCTATTTCCCTAAACAGAACTGCAGTGTCTCTTGGATTCCTGCAATAAGTACCCTGACTGGGGAGCAGCCACACCAGACCCAAGTTTCAATTGTAGATATTCAAAACCCAACTACATACTTTCAAAGCATACTCCTATAATTCTGTTTGCAAATGGCCACAACCTTCATCCTATTTGTAATTGCAGTCACTTTAACTGCTGGCCAGTGGCTTTCACTTACCGTGTTCCTGCTTTTTTGAAGGTTTTAAAACAAAATCTCTGTTTTCCCTTAAAAATGCTTTCTGATAAAGTCTACTTACAGCATATAGTTAGCTCCCAGTGTGCCTGCAACATTACCAAGTTTCTGGGAGGTTTAAGCTGATAAATCTGCCCACCTGAAGTTTTTAGTACACCTGAATCAGGGTTATGCCCTAAACTAGACGAGGACTGCCAGCATTCAAGATTTAAAGCTTAACAAAAAGATAGTTCAGAGCTGATGGAGCTCTGTGAAGCTCCAGCAAAATGCATGAAGGGGGAGAAATGGGTAACCCAGCCATCAAGTTAATGGATGGGGTGGAAATAGGCAACTGGCCACAGTGTGTTGTTAAGCAACGCTGTGTAGCAAATAGCTTAGTGCTGAGTCCTGGGGTGTTAATTACCAGTGGATAGTTCATTACTTCACACACGTGCCCTTCTCCACATGGGAATTAACTCCTCAGTGCTGTACTGCTGATAAAAGCAGAGCAGCGGGGAAGAGTGACTGAAAGCCCTGTTGCCAAGGAGATATACCTGCGTGGGTCGGAGTTGAGGTGGCAGTAATTGTTCCTCTGTTCCTTAGCTGGTGGGAGCTGAGGGACCTGAGACTGTCTCTCTGAGAATGGAAAGATGGGGTCTGCGGAAAGGCAGAGCAAAGCCAGGGCAACCACCAGTCCCTTGGTTTGGACAAAAGGCCCAGAGATGCTCTGGAGCCAGAAAAGCACAGCAGGTCCTGTCAAAGCAGATGCATCCATGGATGAGAGGTATGCAAGAACTAAACAGCACACCGCTGGTGAGAGCAGGGTTCACACTCCAAAGTCAGGGGATAAAGGATGTGCCCTGTATCATCACCTTGACCATTAGCAAAGAGGAAGCCAAAAACTGAGGCTGACGCCCATTCTCTCCCATAGGCAGATGCAGTGGGATCTGTGAGTCCTGCCAAGAAGTGGGAGATGGTCTCTGAGCAGGGGCTTGCCTTGCCTGGAGCACAGCTGTGCTTAGCTGGACTGTAAAGCTATTATGCTGCCCTGTTCTGCTATAGGGGGATCAGCTGGGATTAATAGTTAAGAGCCCATCTGTGTTCTCCTAATGAATCCTGTTGAGGTGGGTCTATTCAATTTGTGCTCCATTAATTAAGAACATCTGCAGGCTCAGGGGAGTCAGCATGTCCTCCAGGTTTGCATTAAACAGTCGGTAGGAAGGCCTATGCTTTAATTTACCTCCATCCTACTCAGCTTCTCTTCAAGTGAGGTTCTGCAGCTAATGAGGTCTGAGACTTTCAGGACATAGGGAGAGGAAATGATTAGGACTGTGCTTTTGCACGTGGGTATATGTGCTTCCCTATATTCCCACTTCTGTGCTAGGGATATAAATAGTCGTGACAAGTTGTGATGAGCAAGTCCCTGCTGCTCTGAGACTGGCTGTCTAGCTTCAGATGTGTTAGCTGTTCAGCAAAGCTTTGGAGGAGGAAAGGAATGAGCAGTGGGGATCACATCAGACCATATTGCTATTTGTTTTAGCACTGAAGTAATTTACTGACAGGGAGGCACATTCTGCTGGTTCCCTTTTCCAAAACAAGCGTCCTTCAAAAGACATTGGATAGCACTCACCTTACGGCTGTGCTCACTTTCAGGGCCTCTGTCGCTGTCTGATCTCCTCTTCTCCACTGCTCTCCTCTCCTCTATCTGCAAGAGCACAGACACAGGAATTACCACAGGATAAAGCAAGGACTCCTGGCTGGGGGTGCATTTGCAAACCCTCTGCTCATTGTGACATGTAAGAGCTGCCCTAGAAAGATCAGAAAAAAAGAGAAGAGGTTGGTCCCTGGGATCCTTACTCAAGCTAAAATGAAAAAGGAAAAAAAAAGTTGGAAAGTAAGGGATGTAAGAGGAAGAGAAAGAAGAAGGGATGAATTCCTATAGGTCACTCATTCTCCCAAGCCAGTGGGAGAGAAGTAACCTATATGGTCATAGCTCTTCTAAAGCAGACAAAGTTTTAGGTACCCTTATAGATTTGGATTGGCACAGATGCAGCTGTGGTCAAGGGCAGGGTGGAGTCATAGTGGGTCTTAGGAAAACACACTGCAGAGCATAAGAAAGATTTTCTAAGAATAGCCTTCTGCTCTGCTTAAACAATAGTTAGGGTGCCACCTCACTGGAAGAGGTTTCTGCTCCCATCCAGATGCTGCAGAAGCAAAGATATTGCAGCAAGGCAGCTGCCAAGTGCCACACCATTTGTCACAGAAGCTTCCCTCCTATCTGGTAACTATACACGGCAGCCCTGGGGCTGCCAGCTCATGCAGCTCTTTGCCCATCAGAGCTGAGGCATCCTCAGATTCCCTTCCCTGCTGAACTCTGTGGGACTGGGCTATGTGTGGGGCTGAGATTATCATGCTGCCATTTTGCACAGCCAGGCAAAACTGAAAAACAAAGAGGGAAGTCACAGCACAAACTGCCAGATCAGCCTTTCGAGAAAGTATCAGCGCTATGAAGGCCAACCCAGGCTGGAAACAAACTTATAATCCAATTGTTTATCACCACTAGCTTTAGTCTGGCGTGATAGGGCTGAATGCTGGAAACTTGGATTTCCACATTTCTACAGAGCCCCCTAAAGCAATTAATTCTACTGCTCACACATATGCTGTGGGATCAGGCCGGGAAGGAGCTAGGGTACAGATGAACTGTCAACAGCAGCAGGCAGTCTTTTTTGGGGGTTGTGTATGTGGGAAGTGTGACCTTATAGCCAGCGCTATAATTGAGACATTGCATTTATAGAGAGATTAAAGCAGAAGAAACCTGGAAATTTAGCTTATTTGAGGAGGCTGGCTGGAGAGCAAGATGTAGATGGATATTTAGCCTTTGAAGCAGCTGAAAAAGAAATGAGGCATTTCATCAGCTGGAGCCCCTCTGTCCCTGGGGGAAGCAGGAGGACTGGGAGAAGAGATGGGAGAGAAGGAGCACTGATTGCCTTGGAAATGCCAAAGACAGCTCACTGAGAAACTGAGGCAGGGTCCTGCATGGATGTGATTATTGTTTCATCTGTGTCTGCATATTTCTCATGCAAGCTCACACAGAAATTGATTCGGTTTGGAGCTTTTACAATGCCTGATTGTGTCCCCAAAGACGGGAAGCGGAAAGCCAGAGCATCCGCACAGCTGGAGTGCTGAGCCAGGGTTTGTGCAGGCTATGGGGGGAGCAGTGTGCTTCTGCCTGTCTGCAGCCTAGTGCAGTTTGACTTCAGCTCTGGCTCTGCCAAGCAGAAATGAAGAGCAAGCCTGCGCCCAGGAAATGTGCTGGAAAATGGAAAATGTGCTGCAGTTCATGAGAAGCAGGAAGACACAGCTGCTGCGTGGCTGGCCAAGCTGGAGGCTGTCCCATTTTGGGCACCACAAATCGTTCTGTTCCAGGGACAGTGTGCAACTCTCCATCCTTTTATACCTCCCTCTGCTCAAAGCTGGGCTGCCTTGTTCCTTAGCTGGTTTCTATTTTTGCTTCTCAAAGGACGCTGTGGAAAACAGAAACAAAAATTTCTGGTTCACTTCTACCAGAAAAGCAGGACTGAACTGTGCAGGTCAGAAAACACACTGAGCTTGGGTTTTGCACTGGCTCAGGAGCAGATTTTTGCATTTACTCCATGCTGCCCCAAAGCCACTGTTAGCCTTTTATGACACACCCAGGCCACAGAGAAACAAAACATGTTTTTCTCCTCCTTCCTCTTCTCCGCCCCCAAAATTATGAAATATGACAATGACATTATCGACTCCTCGTTTAACTGTTCCGGCCCAGCAGGGGAGGAGATGTGAGGAGAAAACAAATGCCCAAAGCAGAGAAGATTACATTTACTTATCCCAAGGTTTACACCAGGATTTCTAAATTCGTTAGCCCCAGGATGGTGGAGGGGGCTTGGAGCTCACATCCCTCACTGGGCAGGATTTTCAAACCTAGCTCAGCACATGAGAGGATTTTCTTTTTTCCAGCTCATTTGAAAAATCTGCCTACTAACTGTGAGGTCTGTAGGGAGCTGAAGATTTCCCAGTCACCCTTCCTGCCTGTCCCTGCCTCTCATCTGCAGTGTAAAAGCATTTATCCTGCAGCAGGTTTGGTGAGCAAGCACGGGGTCAGGCTCACCTGCTTAAGTCCTGAAAACAGCTCTTGTGTTTCTTGATTACAGTCATTTTTGATATGTCATCACGGAAAACTGTTACTAAAAGGACAATTTAAAAGGCCTGAAACTATAACGACTAGATGATTTTCAACCTGCTAATTAACCATCGTGTTTCACTGGTCTTGTGCTGCTACCTTGCAGCTCTAATGTACTAATTATCATGAAACACTGATGGAGCATGGAACAGCTTTTGGGAAAACTGGGGCTAAACACTGGGCCATTATTCTTGGTCCTCTGCGCAGAAAGATCCTGAAGTTGGCAGACTTAGGGGGAGCCAGGGAGAGGTGGGAAGAGAAGCTTCAGTTGTGTGATCTCTAAGCCAGCAGCAGAACTGCAAGCCATGAAGCTGTATCAGTAGAGCGATGTGCTCAGGCTGATTTGTTCTGCAAAGAGACAGGATGACTTGGTCCCCAGAGACATGTGATAACACAACTATCCTACCTGTATATAGTAGGGTAAGAAAAAAATAGGGCTCAAAATGGCAGAATAATATACTCAGAATTGAGGCTGTTTTGGAAGAGAAAATCATGAAAACAGCTCTTTTTTTTTTTATTATTTTTCTCATATTTCCTCTGCCACAGCTGTGATGTGGTATAGGACTGGAAATGTGGTTCTAGCTAGAAGCACCAAGGATAGCAAGAATGGGAGTATTTTGTTTGCTTGTTTTACTTTGTAATGAATTTCATCATGTATAAAAATAGAGAAGAAATATGGATAGCCTTCAAATCTTACAATACACATTTGGCAAGTGCAGGGGCTGGGTGTGACAGTGGCCAGGCCACAGAGTGTGAAGGGGAAGTGATGGATGTGATCCCCTCTCCTGGGCATCCTCAGCCTCTGCAGGAAGGAGAGCACAAACAACCCAGAATGAGCAGGGACCCAGCTGGGCACAAAGGGAGAGAGGCCAAAGGACAGACTCTGCTGGGATAATGTGGCTGAAAGCTAACCCTGAAACTCGGGTCCCAGCAAACAGCTCCTCAGATGACACTGATGCCCCATCTCATGGTAGCTGAAAAATTTGGGGGTGAAAGTGAAGTTTCTTTTGTGGATTAACAATTAATATAAGGGTAGGAAACAGTGGCAAGAAAATGTAATTTTCCACAGTAGAAGATTAGCTGGGGTGTGCCACTGGAACATGTGCTGCTCAGCATGCTCATAAATGGTCTGGAAAAGTAACTGAATAGAGAGATGACAGTTTGCTGATGGTACTAAATCATCCAGGGCGAGGAATGTAATTTGCTAGGAAAGATCTGAAAAAGATCTTTTGATATTGAATGCCTGCATCATAAAATTATAGATGAAATTAAATATCAGTAATGCAAAGTAACTCACATGGAGAAAAAAATGCTCCTTCTTGTACATATACGCACACAGTGGTGAAGTGTGAGCTATGATTACCATCCAGGAATGAAATCTTGGTGTTATTGTGACTAGCTCTCTGAAAATGTTAGCTCAATTATTCAGGGGGCAAAAAAGAAAAAAAAAAAAAAAAGAAGAAAAAGCAAAGAAAATGCAAAATTGTTAGGACAAGAATAGAGAACAAGCCAGAAACATTGCTGCATAACTGAGTACATTCACAATGAGCTCACAGTTTGAATACCACATACAGTTCCGGTCCTCTTGCATTAAAAGAATACAGTAAAAACTAAAAAGGTGCAAACAAGGTACAATGGGGGTGATCCAAAATACTGGACTACTTCCTCAGCAGACATGTCTAATTAGGGCTGGACTCCCACATCTGCAGAAGACATGGCAGAAGGGAGATGTGAAACAGGTCAGTGAAATCATACGTACTCTGAAAAAGAAAACAAGGGAAGAAAGACCTGTCAAAGACAAAGTTACTGCTCCTGGCAGAGAACTTGGGGGCTGGTGAGTGTAGGAGGTGAGGAACAACTGCAGACATCCCTGGTTTGCTCTTTCTGAGCCCTTGTGCTGCTGCTGCAAACACAGTGTCAGTGCATATGGTGCTTCACTAGTTCCTCTGCAGTGCTGGGGTGGCATTGGGCTGCAGAGGAGCTCTCTTCATCAGCTTTCCTGTAATGATGCTGCACTCAGCAGCTCTGTGTTGCTCACATGCCTACTGTCACCAAAGCTAGGGAGGCAAAGGAATACTAAAGCCCCCTTTATGCAAGGGGAAACTGGAGGTTTGTAGATGCCGTGATCAGCACTGGTGGGATTTGCCCTCCATTTCCAAAGTGGGTTGCTGTATTCAACATCCATGTGATGCACAGTGAGCTCTGCAGGCTAACATTATTTAATAAAGGTTTAATCCGTTTGGGTATTACTAATTCTGATCTGCTCTCTGCATTGCAGTCTTCCGGTGCCTTGTGGAGAAACTCATTGCTCTGAGGCACAGTACATGAAATCAGACTTGGCTGGTATCATTTTTTCAAGCGCTATCCTAATCAGAAAACAGAAGCACTTGTTTAAAATGCTAATCCTTAGTGCAGTTTAGGAACAGCTGAAGTGACAGAGCAGGTCAGACCAAATCTCACTTGCCACAACAAGCCCAAGCTGGCATGATGTGTGAGATGCCAATGTGACCTGTCACTTTGGGGCCCATATGCTTCTGTCACTGACCCCAGGAAAGCATTGACGAAGTGCAAATGGATGAAAGTAGCCTGTAGAGATGACTGGGAAACCCAAACACTTAGCTCTCTTTCGGCCACGTCCTTTAAGTTGAAAGGTGCCTGTGCACTGAGAGCTTTTATGCCCTGAAGTTATACATTGAAAATACTAATAAAAGGTATCTTCATTAGCTACAGAAGAGCAGGACCTGATCAGTCTAGGGAAATCACTGGAAACAAGATCTCCCGAGCTCAGCTGGACTCTGAAACATATCCATCTGCTAACAGGTATTGGAAACTAGAATTTCAAACACAAAGTTTTATGTATTTTTCTAAAGTACAAGAGGAATCCAAACAACAACAAATACTTCCAGAAAAGCCCATTTTTAAAATGGGCTCTACGAACTCCTCCATTTCCTAGCTCTGGGAACTGTGCTGTGCGGTCCCTCGTGCTTGCCCCCTGCCTGCTGTCTCAATGCATGATACCCGAAAGCACTCAGTCTTCCAGGGAGCTCTTTCCGTTCTCTGTGAGCTTCTGAGAGGCTGAGGGAGGTATGCTGCCAACCTCAGGAACAGAAAGCAGGACACAATTTTTTTTTTGTGCCAGAAAGAAGCATGATGCTATTGCTAAATGAATCTTGGCAATGGCATTGGTCCAAGACTGTTGTTGAGCCAGAATTTCTGTCCTGCCAGAAGACCAGGTGATCCAGGAAAATGGATCTTTCCTTTTATTCTAAGTAATGGGCATGCACTGCTCCTTGGTTCTGCTGTTTGATAATTAGATTTATATCAAGCCCCTGTGGGTTTCCTGTGCTCCTGACACAGAGATCCTTTTCTTGACCATCCAAAGCATGGAGGCACTGAATGTCTCTACACAATGCCTTTCCCTGCAGATGTCAACAGCTGGTAGCCTCCTTCGCAGCCCACTGTTGCTAGAAGTGTGCTGGGGATTTAATCCTACCTTCTGCCAACTGAGTGACTGTCTTTGGATTAAGGAAGAAAAAAAGGAAATACTTCAAATGAACTTTGGTATCTGAGGAGCAGCAGCATGGAGTTGTTTGCATTCCTGGGGATTATTAGGATTACATTCTAGCCCAAGCTGGTGAAGGAGACCACTGTGGCTACATACAATTGAGGAAAGGCAGGACGACAGTTACATGAGCTCCTTGTACTGCTACATGGAGGTAATTGCATTCATTGGTAATGAATTTAAATGAATGAGCTAGATGAATGGCAGCACAGTAAGACCTGAAGAGAGTAAAACTCAACCTATGCTCAATCATCAAAATCAAATCTGTCAGGCATCCTCCTTGTCCTTCTAAGTCTCAAAGCCTCAGATTCATGTAAAAAGGTGTTGGCAGACATGGCTTTAAGCTAGTGCAATTGTAGGCCTGCTCTCACACACTCTGAATCTAACCACTTTGTGATTAACACAAGGAAGGCAGCACCAAAACCACAGATTACAGAATATGCAGTCTTTCAGCCTCAAATTTCATGTTCCATAGTAAATGAGATATTACCTTTTCTGTGGCTGTCCTTTAAAAACACTTATAAAACAGAGTTCAGGATCTGAAATCGAAACTTAGGCACTTCTGTTTTCTTCTAGCACTATCCCAGCCTTGATGACCTCAGAGATAAAAAATTTAAACAAGCCCAGCAAGAGCCAAAGTGGAGAGATTTGCCATGAGCGACACAGAATTACATCTTACAGCCTGAAGGATAGCTACAGCACAGGAACAGTCAGGTCAGTCTCAGCCCATCATCATATCTAGATGTCTCCCTGATGCCCTGACTGAACCAAGTGACAGCAGCAATGTGAAGCTGTGATGAATCACTAGGCACTAGTGGTCAATATGAGATTGATGGCACTCAAAGATAGGTAGTCATGAGAAAGAAGCTCATGGTCTTTCAGAGTATAAGGAAACTCTGAGGAGGAGGAGAAGCTGAAGATTAATGTAGGCAACTAGCAAATGGGTGGCTGCTGTCCCAGAGATGGCACTTCATAGGTATCCCAATGTTCCTGGGTGTGTTTGGCAGCTACATTACGTGTTATTTTCCTTCACAGTTCTTACTGACCCTGTTTGCTGCAGGCATTCTTACTTATCTGAGCAAACTCTTGAATAGGAAAATGCCACATGCCTCTGTGTGTGTAAAGAGGAAGGTATTTGCAAGGAAGTATTTGAAATATGTTTCAAAGATCAACAAAGTTCATTCTGTTCACCCAGTAGGCTATGGCGAGGCCACAGGACTTAGGTTTAGGAGCAGATATTGCCCAGCTCTGTCAACTTTTAAGCTGTGCTGTGTGTCAAGGGGCAAGGCCTTTGACTCACAGTCTGCTGTATGGCCCTAAAAAGAAGGTGGTAGGAGAGGCAGGAGTCATTTGTGAGATTCATGTCACATATCTGGCAATGCTTTCATCAATCCTCCTAAAACAGTATATGCTATTTCTTAGGGACCCTGTGTATTTAAGAGCCTGCTAGCTGTAGCTGTGAATACAGAGAATGGAAAAAGAATTGTAGCCTTTCCTCTTTCACAGTTATCGAAACCAGAGAATTTTATATGGTAAATTCCATACTATTAACATACAGTCTCGCCCAATGTCTTTTTGTTGTGCCAGCTCCTGGATTGTCCACACGTCACTTCTCAACCAGTAGACCTGCTGGATGCCACTGACAGTTTGCAACCCAGGCATTCACAGCGTACTTACTTTTTCCTTGTTATCCATGGTGATGGCAATCTGCATTCTTCTCCCCCGGCGGAAAGCCACCAAGTGGTCTATTTCTTCTTCACTCAGGTCTGGCATCCTGCTTGGACCAGGGAAGCACTCAGTGCATTTCTCGCTGACAATTCGCTTGCCCTGGAAAAGACAGAATGAGCTTAACAACATCACCATTAGTCCTGTGCATTTCCCTTCCTGTAAACAGATTGCACAGGACCTTGGTCTGACAGAACACAAACATGAGCCAGGTTTCTTGGTTTGTAAAGCTGTCCCCAGATTCTCTAAGGGACATGTAACATTACATAGCCTTGTTTAACTGAGCGCATACCAGTAGGTAAGGTGGGATTACCCTAGTCACCCTTCACAGCATGATCGAGGATGATATTTTAACTCCAGACAGGTGAACCAGCTCCCATTTTTGTCTTTGAAACAAATATGAAATTGTCCTCTCACCAAACAACATGTCCCAGAAAAATGTGAGGCTGTGTCGGAGCAGAACCTGTAGGATGAGATGGACGGGAAATAGTGGTGTTCTCTCCACTCTTGTCTGCAAAGCATCTACTGCTCTAAAGTGCACCAATCCTTGATAATTTGTCATCTTTACCATCATTGTGCATCTGTATTTCTGGAACAATTTATTCAGCAGAAGAAAAGTTTAGAAAACAGACCTTAAATCCTCAAACGAGGGCAGTTTACCCCTTTCAGATATTACTTCCAGCTGTTCGTATCAGTTCATGTCTTTAATGCACAGATTTACATCTGGTTCTTATTTTAACTACCCTTGTAGCCAGTTGAGCCATTGCCAGTGCCCTCAGCCATCACTTCCACAAAATGAGTACATCTTTTGTGCAAAAATACGTATTTTTTCCTCATTTAAAAGTATCATCTTTTGGTTCCATTGTGTATCTTTTTGTTTATGCCTGGCAGGGAAATGCAAGACTCACTGAGTCATCTCCGTTTTTACCCCTGAGCTCTTTCTTTTCTCTTCATCGGAATGATTTCTCCGCTTGATCTTATCGGGGTTCGCCCCTTGGAAGCATCCCTCTCTAAAGGATGGTATATTTTCTTCTGATTTTCTCCCTGGACTTCTGCAAATACCAGATGCTTGATTTCAACAGATCTCAAAATCTCAAAGGATCTCAAAATCTCCTAGAAAACTGCTGTGAAACATGGGAACTCTTTGTTGCTACGAACTTGTTTTCAAAAACAAACAGAATACACTGACCTCAGATTTGTATAGAAGTCTTGGAAACATTTATGAATTTGCCATGAAATATGATTTCAAGATGTCTTGCATTAGTCTGATCTTCACTTGGCTCTGCTAGAAGTGCAGATGTTAGCATGGAGGTAGCCTTAGTGTAGACAGCCTCCATAAGCAAGACGTTTTTTATTGCTTAACCAGTCATTGCGCTTCCTAAAATGTGATACAAGTTTTGAAGGCCATGGAATATTTTCAGCATCAGACCTGCAGCCTCATGTTGATTCTGCTTTCGCATTGTGTAGTTTTGCTATCTCAGCAGAGAGTGTTCTTGAGTTAATTCAGTGCATTCAAGTGAAGGAGTGGGTCTTTGTACTGCTTTAGTTTCTGACTGCCAGAGTCCTATGGATATGCTGGCATTGTTCCCTTGAGCTCTGGTCTCAGGTTCTAGCTGTAGGTTCTAGCAAGTTTTGCTGTGCTTAGTAGCACTCTAGCTATTTCTGCTTTTCTTGAAATAACTGAAGTCATGGCTTGTGTCCAAAGGATCTGCTACGAATCTGCTCAATGCACTTCTAGTATTTGTGCGTTGTTCTCCATGTTTGTGTCAGTGCAGCCTCCTCTTTTGACAGCTGCCATTAACTGAGTAGACGTCCATGAGCTACTCCCAGAGATGCCAGAATTCATTTCTTGAGAGAGTAAAATTTGATAATCAAGAAAACAGGCAATCTTTTAAATATAGAGCACAACTGTCCTACCATCTACCGTGGTTAGGCAGCCATCAGTGATCAGAGGATGTTGGTTTTTATGAGCCTGAGAGCAGTGATGAAGGCAAGCAGCAGACTAGAGACTATGGGCTTCAGGAGAGCAGGTTTTGGCTTGTTTGGCTAGCTGGTACACAGGATCCTGAGGAAACAGTCTTGAAGGAGAAAGGAGCCCAAGAGACCTGACTGGTTTTCATAGACAAAGCTCAAGAATATAATTAAGGACTTCCTGTTGTGCAAGAAAACGCAGGTGTGGTAAGACACAAGAAGGGAGTTCCTGCTTGAACTTAAATGTGCAAAGGGAATATGTAGGAGGTGAGAAGGGACAGGCTCCCAAAGAAGAATGTTTTAGCAGCGCTTGGGGATGCAGGGATGGGGTTAGGAAAGCCAAAGTTCAGCTGGGACTGAAGCCAGTGAGAGACGAGTCAGCAAGAAGGACTTCTGTACAGCAGCAAAGAAAAATGTTGGCCTGGGATGCAAAATGTGGAGAGCAACTTAGTGCCACAGAAGTGAAAAAAGTATCTAGGCCTTCTTCGCCTTAGTCTGTTGGAAAGATTTGCCAGACTTCTCTCAGATATACTCAAAGGGCAAGGTGCAATGAACCTGGTGTATGAAGCCTGCTTTGGCAGGGGGGGTTGGTCTACATTATCTCTAGAGTTCTCTTCCAACCCCTACAGTTCTGTGATTCTAAAGGCTAAGACTCAGTTCTTATCTTGTGATAAACAAGGGAAAAAGAAGTTTTATTTAACTCTTCCTTTACAGACTACGTAAACAGTTATCTCTTACTCAATAGCTTGCCAAGATATGCTAACAAAATGTGTCTTCCAGATACATGAACAAACATTTCCCATTGCAATGAAAAGGAAGTGAAAAACAAAATCTTGATAGCTGCTCTGAAAACCTAAGCATTCCTACTGAAACATGATCCCACAGCTAGTGAGGATAGAAGTAGAAAACATCATTGTGTGTGCTTCACAATTCCCCTTTATAAGGGAAACTGAACAGTTTCTTATGCCTTGAGACATGGAAGAAAAGTGCTTAGCAGCTTTTTGAGGCCCCCTACATATTACTGGTCCACAACTTAACCACAGCAATGCCAGTGGAGTCACAAAAGGGATGAAATCAGCCATCCCTGCTATGGGAATATGTGTGTGCAAGACAGATTTATCTGTTTTCTCCTCCCCCAGCACCTTGTCTTCTTCTTAAAACCTGTTCCACACTTATGTTTGTTGGGAGGAGGAGTCCATACAGAAATCTGGGCAACTGCCTGAGGCAATCTGTAAAAAAATTTTCTGTGAAAGAATCTCTTTTTCTCAGCTTCTGCCTCCCTGGCATCAATCCTCAAGCCAAGGAAGCTGCCCACTGCTACTAAGGAACTTTGCAGACCAAGCAATGCACTGCTGCTTTCTCAGTAGGCAAAGATGGCATTCTCCCACTATAATAGCAAAGCTCTTGGGAATCACAGGAATTACTCAGTTTAGACCTTCAGAATAAGGCTGAATCCTGAATGACTAATGTATCCGGGGAAGAGCTGAGAGCTGCTGGGAACCTCTGAAGGCAGCAGGATACATGACGCCTTGCAGAACAAGCACTGAACTGCTTGCTGTCCTGCCTCCCTGCCCTAGTTCTAGCATGATTCAGAGGCTGCAAATATAGTCTGACTTTGCTTTGGAACCTCTGAATTGCTCAAGCCTGGTAGTTGCTTTGGTGTTGAAGCGGTACATTACTTCGTTATTCCCAAGAAATATCCTTGCTCCAGGTATAATCCTGTGTTTCCTGGGACATTCAAAATAATACATCTTCCCTCCTTCAAACCCTGAGCAGAAATATACAGTAATATCAGATTGTACTGGTGAGGTTAATTAATGAACTGGAGATCTGTGCTGTCCTGTCCTAAATAAAGAATCAAAATGAGATGTTTAGCATACTAGTTAATGTTTTTTATGTTAAGAAAGTAAATCCAAGCAGAATAATAGCAAGCTCAAGCATTAGTTCTAGCCACACTCAAGAGCTCTTTTAGGTATTCAGGTGGCAATGATCTGTCCTTTGAACAAATAACATGGTCACAAATAACTCTTCCCAGGGATACTGAGCACTAGGTGGGTATGGTTGAAAGCTGGCTTTGCCACCTGCTACCTGGGAAAGTCCTTCCTGAGGATGGATACAGGCCAGGAGCATGGACAACAACAAAGCCTCTGCCCAAAAACCTAAAAAAAAAACAGTGCAGAGGAGCTTGTATCCAAATTCTGTGGATGAGACTGATGCTCCAAAGTGTGTTACTGGATTTACAGGTCATTAGATAATAAAAATCACAGTAGGAAAGTTGGCATGTTGGCAGAGCCATTAAACCCCGCAGTTTATTGAGCAGATGGCAGAGAAGCCTGAGAGGCTCATACAAGAAATACCTATTTAGCAGATCTGTGATAGCTGGGCATAAACAGGAGTGGGAGACCACTGGCTTTTCTAGAAAATATCTTTTCCTCCTCCCTCTACATGTTATTTTTAGCTAAGATGGGTTGCCTGAAGGCACATTCTGCTTAACATGCCAACACATTTTTTGCTTGTTCACTATTTTAAGAATACCAGTGGTTTCCTAGATTACTTGTACCACATTGGGAAATCTTGGCAGTCAGTGGGCTAGCTCCCAGCGCGAGGGATGTCAGATGAGGAAAGAGAACATGCAGAGCCAATGGGAACAAAGAGAGGGGCCCAAATGGAAAGCAGTGGTTGTTCAGTGTAATTGAAACTGTGATTTGAGAAGTGCCCCTCTTGTGACAGAGGCATGCAAAGGTAGATTGCAAAGGTAGTGTTAAAAATGCCCATCTGAAGGGCTGTCAGGAAAAAGAATATATAGGAAATACAGGGGTCTGTATTTCCAGAAGAAAAATCTCAGAGGTCTATTCATTGGCTATGCTGAAAAACACTGGTGCAGAGTTTAAGGTAGCAAAATGATATAGCTGCCAGTGTTCTATGCTAATATAAATCCCCATCTAAGACTTGAGTTCTGAGCTGTAGATTAGGAAAGGGCTCCAGGGGACTTAGGCTGTCTGCGAGAGCCTTTCACTCTGCAAATGTAATTGCTTCAAATATAAGTCATTCCCTCCCTGCCTCCTCAGTTACATGGCTATGAGAAACCTTGGAGTAAACTCTCAAATATTTCACTGATAAATTCACTTGGTAATGAAGGTGGTTAGATGTCTATGTACCCTCTATCCTTAGGAAAAAAAAAAAAAGAGCATTTCTTTTATATCAGAAGGTGGTTTGGTTCTTACGGAATGTGATTTTCTTTGAAAGGGACGTTCACACTACTGGTTATCTATCTGGAATGAAGGAAATGACAGACTTCATTCTTTTTCTCCTGAAAATTCATTATGAAAGGTACATTATTTCCAGAATGATTCAGTTCCTTCAAGGTAACATATAATGACTTTGTAATGGCGCAGTGCTTGTGGCCTATTTCTTCATGGAAAGAAATGGTAGCTAGGTCAGGGAGAAACAAGGCACACAATTGGAAAAATATTTTCAAGCTGCTTCAGATGGAGTAAATGGCTCTCTTCCTTTTGTTTACAGCCAAGGTTTTCAGCACTCCTACCCTAAACCTCCCGGGCAGCAGGAAGGGTGAGGTTTCACTTTATTACCCTGGGAAATGTCTTTGGCTTGGACCTCCCTTCAAAAAAGCCCTCTCTGATTCTCTGGGCCAAGCATGTTGCTGTGCCTAAAAGAGGCTCCAGGGGAGCAACATTTGCTGCCACTGTTTCCTTTTCACTGTGCTGCTGTGAAAAGGAATGGGCTGATCTCATCCATTCTGGTATGGATGGCCGAGGATTGATATCTCCTTCACACCAACACAGTCCTCAAAAAAGGGCGTTGCGTCTCCAGGTATCTCACTGGTATCTTCTTATTGCTAATCAAGAAAAGGATAACACTGCTTCTTGTACTCTTTTGGGACTTATTAAATGGTGTGAAGAAGTTCCAATCGCAGCAATAATCTCCCTCCAGAGACTCACTAAGTAGAGAGCTTCCCTGTGCTCCCACATGCGTGTATCTGTGCATGCAGATAATACAAATTTCCAATTACTGTGGCATTTCTGATCCTTGTTTCTATTTATCAGTGGCCAAACGCAATAACTCCAGCAAGAACATGGTAACTCCTCTAGGATATTCCAGAGGTGAAGCAAATAAAAGTGTAAAGCTCACACAGGCACTTACTTCCTTGGACATGCTTTCAATACTAACTGCCAGACTTTTACAAAATCCTTCCTGGCAAAACTGATAGGCCGCCAGGATCCTTTGATTGAAAAAATGGGTTATCATTTTCAATTTTTCCAATTTTGCTGTTTCACAAAATTTTTAATTCTGGTTTTTATTCTGCATTTAAAATTTTCTGAGATAGAGCAACGGGGAGAAATTATGTTGTTGTCCCCTTTCCAGGCACAGTGATAGAGTTAAGCCAGTGGGATGCTGGTGACCCAAGTGAGCAATGCTCTCTCAGAAAGGTCTGTGCATGGCTGGGTGGAACCACTGGGAGGTTTAGCAAGGCCTAGGGGCTGATTCCAGTGAATTGGACATGGAGAGGAAAACAAAGCATGGCAACTCGAGGTGAAGACTGAGGCTGTGCTGAGGGAGCAAGAAATGAGAGGAAAGGAGTGAGAAGGGAACTCTTCCCTTCAGAGATAAGGCACTGGGAGACACGCTGAGCAGAAAGCTCAGATGAGGAAGAACAGAAGCCCCTTTAGGGCTTGGAGACAGAGACTTTAGTGTAAGAGGAATCCTCTTCCTTGCTCACCTTAGCTTTGTTGTCCATGGTAACAGCCAGCTGCATCCTCTTCCCCATTCTGAATGTGAACATATGATCTGCTTCCTCCTCCTCCTCTTCGTCACTGCCAAAGCCAAATCCAGTGCTCACAGGGCAGGGGCTCTTTTTCTCACTCACCACCCTTTTGTCCTGGAAAATGAAGCACTTCTGTTACCAAATCTAAGCCTCTCAGCTCACCAGTGCACTCCCCTTCCCCAAACACACCTGCACATAAGCAGGGCAGACCAGTTATGGAGTGGTAGGCCTTGCCCTGGGAAAGCTTTCTGTTCATGGCACTGTGCTGTGACATTCCTGCAGGACAAGGGGCTCATTGTCTGCTCAGCAGCAAAACCCACAATTACAGTGGGTATGGAAAATCCTTTGCACTTACAAATCTGACATTTCAGATTAAAGTGCCAGAGTTTTATCGCTTTCTGCAGCAGTCTGAGTTAGACCAGAAAAGTCTAAGTCCTGATGGAGATTGCCTGGGAAGCCAAGAGGATGGCTCCCGAGGGTCAGTGCTCACCATCGAGAGGGCTTGGCTATCTTGTCCATAGTGTTCAGTCTGGGTAATTGCATCTTTCAGGTCCTGTATGAGAGAAAAATGTGTGCAACAGAGCACCTCCAGAGAAAAGCAAGGGCCGGGGCATGACAACGTAAGCAAGGCACTAGCTTGGATCTAACAATCCAAGAGTGTCGATGGTGCAGAATGAGGGTGGGCCAGCTCAGTCTGGTTTTGGGCTTCCCGCAGGGGCTAACACAGGACTGGCCTGGTGATTTAGCAGATCGCACACCGCCAGGAGGGGAGGATAAGGTTTGTCACATACAGATTTAATGCAGTCAGAAAGGATGCCTGGGACTTGTAGCATTTGCCTCAAAACCCCTATGTAACCACGGCCTATTTAATTGCAAGTACAAAGCCTAAGAAGATCGTGATTTCAACCAGCCTGTGGTTATCTTCAAATGTATTCCTGATATCTCCAATGTGTATGTGGCACATACACATCTTACATGTTCTGCGGCACATACGCATCTTACATGTTCTGCCTATATATATATATATAGCAACAGTGTTCACACCTGGGAATCATCCAGGGCCAAATGTAACTGTTCACTTACTCACTTATTTGCATGCTTGCTCATTCTGAATGCTTGGGTACAGGTGCCTGGGCAAGGCTGGAAATGAGTGGATCAGCAAACACTTGGGGCATTTTGAGCTTTTATGCCCTTATAGGAATGTTTAGGAGCTACGTTCCATGCCTGAAAGAGTTTTGCTCTGGAAGCTGTCTCCTTCAGCAACGCCACTTGTGAAGCTCATGGAGGCAGGACCGAAGCTTGTGGTGGCTTGTGGTGAAGAGGCATTCACTCACTTACATTGTGAGCTTTGGTGATGGTAATAGTGAGTCCATCTTGCTTGGGTTTCCTGGAGGTAACAGCCATTCCCTCCTGCTCAGCTCGTTTCTTGTCCTCTTCTATTTCCTGAAAAAGATATATCCTTGTTATAGGCCTGTAGCTGGCTGTGCACAGATTTTGTAAAGTTCCTGTTTAGAATTTTTCCTAAATGGACACAGCTCCAGCTCTGAAAGAAAGTAGATCAACTTGTGATCCATCAGTGTGCCCTTGGAATGGGTGACTGGCAGCTGGGACATGTGAAGAGCCTGGAACACACCTGGCCTGCAGAAAGGGAAGGCTCTGCACAGAAGCCAGGGTCTCTGTGCCAGACTGGGGTCATCATCTCTGGCCAATGACCTGCTCTGGCATCTCTGGCTGTGATCTACTTATCTATTAGGCAACTTCTTCTCGAAGCCAAGTAGTGGTAGGTAGGAAAGTAACATTTAATATGAAAGTGAGAGTTCCTCTCCCCTAAGTGCCTGACACATTCAACTCATTCCATAGATTTTCACTAGATACCATTATTTTTTGCTATGATCAAAAAATGTTCAGAATGGCTCTTCTGGTATCAAAGGAAATAAGTCTTTTAAGCAAGATCCAGCCTCGAGCACCACTGAACATTCTGGCTCTTGGTCCAAGACATAAAACATGCTTTTTGCCATTCTCAAGACTACCCATCCAGCCAGCAAATATTAAGCAGCCCCCAGAGCCAAGTGGCGATTGGAAAAGCCAGGAGAATATTCCAGGCAAGCCAGGAGGGGGGATCCTTCTTCCAGTAGCACGCTCAGGCTGTTCAAGTCTGCACTGCTGTATGCAGACACTCATGGAGAAGGGTTAGCAAACGTAAAGAGAGCTCCAAGTTACCGCAATGTCACCCTGAACAGTTCTTACAAGCTGGGCTGGATATCTTTTGCAGGTCACTGGGTAGACTCTCTTGGCCAAAGCCAATCAATCCAGGAACAGAAAAAGGAGGTGTTTTTCTCTCCTGTGAGCTTCACAGAAACACTGGGACTGGCCTGAGACAAGCTTCAGTCCATACAAGTACCCCGGACTGGGTGAGGACAGCAAGAGGGAAGACAAAGGCTCTCAAATGTGTAAGGGATGCAACCTTCTGTTCATCCAGGAGAATAAGCATGAGGCACAGGGAAGGACAGAAGGGGAAGAAGACAGTGTGTATGAGACGAAGAGATGGGAAAGCTGTGATGCAGATGGAAGAAGAGAGTAGGGCGAGAAGAAATGCTGCAGCAGAAAGGGAAGCATCAGTGAGCCTGGCTTCTAATCTGAGGAGCTATAGCAAAGAACAGAGTTTGGCTGACCTTCCCCAAACACTTTCCTATGTAATAGTGTTATCTAACAAAGTCATCCCTCCATTGCTGACTATCTTCTTCATGCTATGAGTTGTGAGGACTCTAAAACAGAGCTGAGGAAGATAAGAATCAAGCAGTCTTACCTGGTATCTTCGTATAAGCGCTTCATTCTTCTTCCGTAGAGCCAGGATTTTCTTATCAAGTTCAACATCTTTCTGTTCTTTCTTCCTTAGCACAGCATCATCCACAGTGGCATCCTGAAAACATAAAGAGCAAAGCTATTCTTGGTGATCACACTGACAGGACACAAACCGGATGCTTCTGCTTAAATAGCGGGGGGAGGTTGAATGGTCTTTTCCTACCATTTCCTCCTTTAGACCTCCATCTAAAAGCACACTGCATCTTGTAAATTGAATTCTTCCTGACAGAACTGACCTTTTCTACTTTAACATTTTTTTTTGTTCCGCACTGAGGTAACTGGAGTGAAAAAGCAATGCCCCACACTGATGGCTGCCAGTAACTCCAGAGTTACCACGCCACTTAATACACAAAGTAAATGACACCTCTGCCTGCTCTCAGTTCAGATGCTCTCAGGCACACCCAGGGTACCCCATTTACATTCAGACAGCATCTTGGTTATCACAGGGGATAAGAAATCAGATTTTAGAATTTTAGTGACAGCAGCATCTAGTGAAAATTAATGCTGATGGGTATCAACACACTGCAGCAAGGTGATCCATATTGTCTAGACTCTGCCTGCTGTTTACACGAAGAGCAAGGTGGAAAGTCTGAGATCTCCAAGGCACTACAGGTTTATTTTTAAACAGTGTTTTTGTACTCTCCTTATCAGCATGGCATCTGCACGCTGCAGAGATCTCACATTCCCTTTCCTCTGCTTACAGAGAGCTGAGTAAGACAAAGTTGGCTTGGGGATAGGCACAGCCCACCTGCACCAGCACTCTTTGCAGCTCCAGTGCTGCCCAAACCACCGTCCTGGTCCCATCCCTAGTCTGGATCAGTCAGGACTGGCATCAGAGTCTGCCCTGGAGCACCTTGGCTCCCAATGAGCCCCCAGGGGCACTGAGAGGGACCTGCTGGGAAAAAGCTGGGCCTCAGACTCAGAAACCAGAATCAGACATTAATAGATGCTTAATCACAAATAGAATTGATTGACATTTCTTGAATCAAAACCCCAGTAATCCTATCAGCCCCACTGCTGAAATCCAGAATAGCAAAGGCTGGGAAGAGCTGTACAGGCAGGAGAGGTTTTTCCTTCATTAATCACAACATGGCAGGTGCAACCTCCTTCAGGGAAGGATACGTCACTGTCCAATCGTGGCTGCTGGGTCATGGGATCTGGGTCTGACCCTCACCATGCCCTGGTGCCTTCCTGCCTGTGATGTCAGCCAGTCTGCTCTGGGTCTCACCTCAAGCCAGCCAGTGGACTTGCAAGGCTAATTCCTGGGAATAGAGGGCTTCTCCTGCATTCCTACCTTTTGCCTGGTCCTAATTAGGTCATCAGAGGAAAAACTGGAGCATTGGAGGTCTAGAAAGGTGCTGTCAAACAAAGCTCTTCCTCAACTGAGAGAAAACAAAGTAAGAAGCCTAAGGCCTGAAGGCTAAGAGTAAAACCACAAAGCAATAGCCCAGGGGAGGGAAAGCCTCTGACTCTGCTCTATGTTACCAGCTGCTCATGCCCTTTATCCAGTACTTTACACAAGCTCCAACCTCCTGAAGATGTGTGTGTTTGCAGCGTGCCTGTAAATCAAACGAGGCAGAACTTAGGCACTTCAATTTCATGTTTCTCATGTAGTGGAATTAGCATTTCACCAAAATGAGAAATGCATGGGAATATCCTATGACTATTTGAGAAAGCAGGATTTTAGCTGAGCTGTAGGAATGATCTCCTTAATGTCGTAAGGCTTTCGGCTGCCTGGGAGATGGGACACCAGGTGAGAATGAGGGCACATTTGATCTGCTGGCCCTTTGGTAATGGATATGTTGTGGTTTTGTCCTGTGCTGGTGCAGAAGCAGCAAACTGGGCTCCTGGTAGCCCATGCTAATGCAGAAAATAATGATAGGTAGCATATAGGAATTTAGCCAGAGCATCACTGCTCTTTCAAAAATGTTATGGGGCTCCTGGGAGCCAGATCTGCAAATCATCTGCTGCTGTACATGGCCAACACTTGCTTTCAAAGGAAGGGATCCAGCTGCTGAATCACTATGTATCCCAGCAATGCCAGGTATTCCTTTCAAAGGCTTTACATGAGAAAGAACAGAGCTAATGACATTTCAGCTCTGATCGAGCAAGACTTGTGCTTGAACTTAACCATCACTGCAGAGAATAGGACCACAGATAGGGGCAGAAATCTCCCTGCCATAGTGCTCTTTGTAGAGAGGGACTAAAAGTTGAAAGTGTGATACCATCACAGAGAAGGGGGTGGGATGGATGGATGCAGATGTTGTCACAAACCAGAAAGGGGAAAGGTAGGAAAACCAGTTTGCACAAGTACACTTCCAATCATATCACCACGATGGTATTTTATCAGTGCTGATTTACGAGCCCTCATGAGGACTGTTCTGCCAGGACACAGAAACACATTCGTGTTCAGGTGGAACAATAGGGACATTTAAACCACACATTCACCCACACATTCTTCTGCTGGACAATGGGATTTTGTTGAGGTCTGCAGGAGAACAAAATGCACTTTCCTATTGCCATCTATCATTCAGGTATGTGACAGACAAGTAGATTGTACATGAGGGTGGATACACTTTCATGGCCATTTTGCAAGCCTGATTAAAGCTGAATTCCTGTGTTTACCAGAACAGAAGCTATTCTGTGAGCTCCAAATTGGCAGGTTTGGTGTTTGCTGAATGCTGGGGTGTTGGCTGCTTGAGGGTGGGATCAAAGTAGTGCATGCCCTCAAACACACCCCTTTCATCCTCAAATTGCTTTGAACAAGGGCTGACAGGGCTGCCTGCTCAGGAAGAATTTTAAAATTCCAGTAGAGATTGTATTTGTGCCCTTCTCTTTTAGCAAGCAAAAGATGGCTGGGGCTCATCCATTGTATAGTTCAGCCAAGTCAGCGTTAGCTCAGCAGCCACTGCAAGCCAGCTGATAGCGAGGACATGCCCTCTTCTTTGCTTCTGGAACGAAGCTGCCACCCCAGCCCCTGCTGAAGCTGGTGCTTGGGGTGACAAGTAGCTGCAGCATGCCCTCCCCAGAACAAAGCTCTTCCGGGGAAGTGAGGTGCCCGTATGTTAGTGACAGGAGAGTTATAAATGGCTTTGGCAGAACGGACGTGCGATGGCTTTGAATCAGAAAGCCCAATGCCTCCAAGAGAGCCAGGCAGAAGGAAAGAATGGCCTCTCTCTATCACAAATAAAATGGCACAAGATGAGAAATGGGAAGCGAGTGCCTTGGTGCTTCCATTAAATGCCGACACCTCACTCTGCCACATGCCCATGGCTTGGCAGCACACACACATGCTGCGCAGCTCCCCAGGGGCTGGAGGGGTGCCTCATCCAAGGCTGGTGCTGTGTGCAGGATTTTCCTGCAAGCTCCTACAGCTGTCTGCTTCTGCAGCGAGAGACTTCGGAGGCAGCAAGAGTGGGAAAGAGAGAGACAGAAGGTGGGGGGGAGGGAGGAGAAGAGAAGAGCAAAGACCTTAACTAACACTCTTCTGCATAAGCAAACGCATCTGCTCTTTTGAAGAAATATCCTCTGGCTGGACAGCTGCAACCTTTGCCAGGGTAGGCAACATCCAGTGCTCCGTGGGTCTCTGTTATCTGTTCTCACCCACTCAGGAGGTACAATGTCCTGAAGCAGCCACCACAACCTGCCCTAGAGATCGCCACAGAAATCCCAGCACCCCACATCCACATCCTGGCACCCCCCCATGACGCAGCACTGTTTGTTTGTTCCCGGTGCCTGCTGGCAGGCAGGCGAGGAATAAAAATAACAAAGCCCCAACCAGCGAAAGGCCACCCCAAGTGCAAGTTGTTTCAGGGCCTCTTTGGGTGTGGACCCCACTGCCCGCGCCCTCCTGGGACCCACAAAGGCGGCACTCACCGCTCGGTGCATGTCAGACATCAGCAGCAAAGCCCGGCAGATTCCAGCGCAGAGCTAAAAGAAGAGAGCCATCCGACGGCCTTTCTCAGCACTGGTTGCACAGCATACAAGATCATGTTTTGATTACAAAAGCCTCGTCTGGGCTCCCAGCCAAGAGCGCTGGCTGCCTAATATACCAAGCACAGACAGGGTTTTGAGTGCCTGTGTCCTCCCCTCCAATCTCACTCTCTTTTTAAAAGAAACACTCCCCCTTTTCGCCCCTCCTGACTCCTTTTAACTTCCTGATGCCACAAGCCCTCATTCAAAGTGGGGAAAGCTTGGCAAACAATGACAAATGGATCAGGCAAACAGCTTGACTTCGCTTTGTGGCCATTCATGGGGTTGTGTTATTTGCTATGCATGGATAGTTGCACGCCTGGCAGGGAACTGGGGAAATATCTGCGGTCCTGAATACCTTGTCACTGCGAGTACATGCATGAATCTTTACGGGAAAACAAGTGCCAGATTTGCCTTTTTCTCTTTATTTTCAGTCTTCTCTGGGAATTATTTCTCTACTTTTAAAATGAGTCTTTCATTCAGGAAGGGAGGAGAAGCGATGCTGTGGGGTGGACATTGTCAGCCAGCACCATGATTGGCACAAAGCATACAGTCAAGGAAGAGGGACCCTCAGAAAGCCCTCAACAGAAAGCCGCCAAAAGGACCCCAGAAGAGTCACAGAGAGGCTTTCTGAAAATAGGCAGCATTTAGCTGCATCTTGAGTTGCTGCACTCAAATCCTTATCTCAGACCACCTCCTGGCCATGTGCTGTGTCTTACCTCTATGCTGATTTAAGACTTCTTCTTTAACCTACAAGATCCAGAAAGAGGTGAACAGGAGTTGGAAGAACATAGAGGAATATTCTGACGCTCAAGGACTACCACCCACCCCAAACTCAATAACACTTCTGTTTTTATATTGTAGCTGATACAATATAAAGGCCCACTGCTGATACACAACCCCTCTAACATATTTAAATAGGTCAGCCACTCACAAAATCCAGAAAGCTCAACCCCAAATCCAGCAAGGTCCGAGGAAAGCCTTCAAAAGACTCTGAATAACTTTGAATCTGGCCCTTCTTCTGCACTTAGCTTTAAATACTGGATATCAGGACTACTAAAGGAATAAAGGAGGAGGAAACATGGCTTAGCAAAAGTGCTCAGAGGGAAAGACTGACCCATATTAATTAGTAGCTACTACAGTGATGAAAGGAAATGTAAAGCATTTCCCAGGCAGTGCTTCTGGATTCAGGCTTGAGGAAAGAAATGAAGACATTCATGTGGATAGAAACTTCAGAGAAAGACACAAGAGCATTGCTACAGCCCAGGTGATTAGAAAGAGGTTTGTGATGGACAAGGCTATGTGCAGGTGTGAGCCATGCTGAGCCCTTCCTTGCTTGGAACCCACTTGAGACAGAGGGAGCTGGGAAGATGATGCTGCCTTGGGTTTCCAAGTGGGTAAGGGTCCTTGCGACAGCAGAGTGGTGGCCCATTTTTTGTTGGGCTGGGGGTCGTGTCTGGCAGATGCTACTGGGCTGAGTCAGGGAGCAGAAACATTTTGAGGAAAATGTTTCTACTCATGAAAATGGCTCATAGAAACATTTTATCCAGTGCTGGTGCTACAGCATGTTTACATGGTCTCAGCATTTCTAAGCTCAAGGAATCCACACACACCACCAAAATGTGGGTGCAGATGAACACAGAGATTCACACAATTATCCCAAACACTAAGGCTAGGCTGTTTGCATAGCACAGAGTAAATGTCTTGTGCAGTGGGGTGAATCACAGTAGCTAAGGGTGTTCAACATGCCCAAGTTGTCAGAGCTTGAGCTAAGTGCTCACAAGCAGTTTCTACAGATCTCATGCCACACCACGCCAGGTACTTGCTGTTATTGATGGTGTGGCCAAGATCTTCCAGTCATAAGCAGTGGTGTGAGCAGGCCCCAAAATATTATTCCCTTTGCAAATGTCTGGAGAACTGCAGTTTCCCCCATGGCAGTGTCAGCTACTCTGCTGTCCTCAGCAGAAACAGCTGACATTTCTCAGCTGTCCCTCACCCACTCTGAGTGGCAAAACTGATAGGCATCTATTTCTGCATCATCATCTGAGACAGATAAGAGGATGAGGATTCTGTTAAAGCCATGGACACTGAAACCTAGGGGCAAAAGGGACCAGTCAAAGAAGCAGAATCTGCAGCTTCAGCAGTGGGGCAGAACAGGTTGGTTTGGGGACTCGTTGATGCTCTCGGGACTCTCACAGGATGTACAAAGACAAATCCTATAAATATGCTGAGATTTATGGGGTTATATGCATGCACATATATTTGTTTATACATGGTGTTATGACCAGAAAGAGCTGCAATTACACCAGAGCCATACTCAGCTTCAGGTCTTGCTGCATACTGCCAAGAACTCTGCTTTGTTCTTACATGTGTGTCATTCCTGGAATCAGTGATGCCTTCCATGCCCACCACAGGTTAAGGGTGATCCTCCAGAACCACCACCCTGACCTTGGGGAGCACGAAAACGCACCAAGAAGGAGAGGATGGTCCCCAGTCTTCAGTTACAGTGAGAAGGGTGTGATGGATATAGGACATTTTGGTGGCCATGCAGGACCTTACGACACTCTGAAACCTGTTCACATGAGCACACCCACCTTGGTAGCTGAAGCACATACTCTCTCAGGCAGTCGGTGGCAGCTATTTTGCTGCACTTGATGGAATATTTCAGAGAGTGAATGTGTATTACACCCATGTGTGACAGTAAGGTTGTTTGGAGGAAACAGGCTAATTACTCATGCAGAAATTTGTCCACCACCCCCAAGGTAATCCATTTATTCTTCTAAAATCATCAGAAGGCCTTTAATAAGCAGGATGACCTCTTTCTGAGCTGGTTTTATTGTAGTCTAGCTGCTGTGGACTGGCTTGTTCCATCTCTAAAGCCTACTCAGCACAGAAGCCACAGGGAGCACCCAGCATGGACACTCCAGATTGCCTCTCCCGTTTCCACTTTATGGAAAGTGGATGTATCAGATTTGCTATCAGAACCCTCTGAAAGAGCAATCCCTGTTATGGACAGAGGTTTGCTTTCAGAAAACCCTGAAATAAGAGAAAGTAAGGGACTTGACTGACTGATGTTAAGTTTAGCTTCCAGCTGCCCTCACAGAAGCCCTGGTCTCCACTCGGGGCAAAGTTTGCCAGAGATTTTCTGGGGCAAAATAAGGAGATCAGAGGAATGAGCCATCCATTTTGTGCTCACAGCTATGAAATAATCCCTTTTTCTAGTTGTGTGCTGCAAAGCCTCTCCCTAACCCGTTTCAGCACAAAAAAAAAAAAGTCTCTCTGACAGCAGTCTACAATCTCTCAGCTCTAGGACAGCATTTTGCAGATTGCAGATTGTGTTGCTCCACATTTGACAGTAAGACTGTGTCTTCTCCATCTCTGACTTACACAGAGTTTGAAGGAAAGAATCTGATCCCTCTATTAACCCAAATATGACTATCACAAGAAGTATTCCTGGCATCCTTTTCTCTGCCCTTCCAACAGTTGAAACCACCTTGCCTTGAAACCCTCTTCTCTCTTTCTTTTGCACTTTGTGAAAATCCTTCAAAGTCACTTAGTCCCATGCTGACACTCCTCCCAAGTGCACTGTGCCCAACTTCACCTTGGCTCCCTTCCATTTTTTGCACGACCGCTATTTAGTCAACAGATGGCACTCGGTAACTGCTGGGAGAAACTGGGAGCCAGCTGCCAAAAAGCCCACTGTTGAAGTTAATCTGCCTTCTCTGGGAGGCTGCTTGTATACCATGTATTGAGACTGCAGATAAGCCGCATCGCTCAGTTTCAGAAGCACCACAGTGTGCTGCCACATGCACCAGAGAACTCTCAGATCATGCTGCCCGAGGCTCCTGAGTGGAATCAGCAACCCTTTTCCAGTCCTGTTGAATGCAAGGAGGAATAAGAACATGCAGATTATCTAAGGAGAGGTTGCTGACAGCCTGGAGGCATTTTTCGTACCAAGCACAGAGCAAACTTCCTTGCAATAAGCAAAGTCCTCCTTTGCCTCCCTTGCTCACTCCTTGCTCTGGCCCTTTGGCCAGCTGTAACTGCAGGATAAAAAGGAGTTAGGCTGTTCCTCAAGCCAGCCAGATGAAAGGTCTGCATATTCCTTAGACTCGGAGGAGGTATAAGCCAGAAATACTAAATGGGCTTTAGTTGGAGAGTATCATGAGGATCAAAGGACTACTGAGACATTAATTTTGAAATGTTTCAATATACAGAAATTGAAAACTACCAAAGACAGTTAAAGGATATAAAAGCAATTATATCCTTTAACCAATTATTATACATAGTGATACCAGTCACCACAGAGAAACCTCTCAGAATGTGCAAATCAGCTCTGTTCCTACTGAAAGACAATTTTTCCCCTCTTTTCCCCCTCCCTGCACATCATCCCAACCTGCAGGCTGCCACTGCACATCCTGTGGGTAAGTTTTGAGCTTACCAGTGTTTAATGCTACCACGAATAATTTGTGCTGTCACAACCTGACTTGACATCTGCCACTCCTGGAAAACTTGTAATTTTGCTGTAAAGTCCCTGAAGTAAGCAAAACAACAAGGAAAGGATCTGGTCTCTTCCCTCTTCCCACTTCCAGACATGCAGAGCAGGACCAAATGCAGGTCTGCTGACCCCATTTGCATCCCCAGCCTTCAGATGTAGGACATGCAGGCCAGGCTAGGGAAGGATGCCAAGATGTGACAAGTGGCTGGAGCCAGTCAAACAGGTTCTTTTCATCTTTTATGACAATGCAGTCCTTGTAGAAAGCAGGGAGAGCTGCAGACAGCAACCAGCTCACCATGGGTGCAAGGTGCCATCAGCCAGGGTGTTTCTCCTTTTCAGCACATGGTTTGAGCCCAGAGCTAGGAGGACATGGGCAATTCAATGGCCTATAACTTGTAGTGTGCAAGGTGCAAATGAGAAAGCCAACAGTCAACTGGCTCATAATATGGTCATGTGTGCCTGGTGAACTTTACAGTGTCCAACTTATTGGACACAGGGCTGCTTCAGGGCTGCACCAGAAGCAACGTTACTCGCTTCCAGACCAATGCAGGAGGAAAGAAGTGGTGAACTCAGTGGCCATTTTCCAGGCCTC